ATGGGCTGGGCAAGGCTCAGCTCGGAGGGCTTTGAGAGGAGGCTGACAGCTTGATGTGTTACTGGATAGGTCTGTCCAGTTGGTCTTCAGTAGGACTGGTTGGGAGTCCTATTTCTGGAAAGGGTCAATATGTTAAGAACTTTTTCAGGAAAGGACTATTTTCTCCATTTCCTGATTTGATTGTTTCAAAATGAAAGTTTGGGGGCTTGTTTGTTTAAGATCAAACAGTTGTTTTGAAGAATAAAGTAGTCCTGGGAAAAGTGTAATTAAGCAAGGTCAAAACTGAAGCAGTATGCTTTGAAATTACCAAAACGAAAGATTATAACTAAACCAGTTTTTGTCTTTTTCTGTTTCAAGGCTGTCCAATCTGAGAGTAACCAGCTTATTCTAGGCTCTTTTAACAGAAAAATCCCTCAGTTCTTTCTGATTCCAAAACTGAGAGGCCCTACCTCTGTAAACCCACAGGCATAAATTGATTGTGCCAATTTCATTTTTTCCCCAAAACAAAAGGCCTATTTGTATCATTGTAAAACAATTTATACCCAGCTCTAAGCAGGAAAAAAATAATTACTCTCCCTTTTTGCAGTTTTTCAAGGTGATGTAGCCAGAATGGATTCAACTGTATGTGCTTACAGTTGGGGTCTTTTGAATAGTGCCTCATGAAGCTATTCAAGTACCTTCTGTCTTCACCTGCTCCTGTATACCAGCAAGAAAGGAAAAACAGCCTCTACCTTCCCCCATTGCCTTTGCAATTCAAAACTGTTGCTAAAAACAAACTTCAAAATGAGGCACAAAGTTTCCATATAGGCAGATGTTATCATCTTGAAATTCTACAGTTACTATATAGTGTCTCAGATCCTTCTTCAGATGTTTGCATAGATCCCAGTGTAGTCAGGTAACAGATACTCTGAATAATCAGAAAGAGGAGTATCGGCTACCTGACGAACTGAATTATCAGTCTCCTGATTTTGAGAGATTACGGTGTAGCATTTAACAAGGCTGAAGATCATTGCATATTACTGCTTTACAGAACTCAAAGGTATGTTTCTGAAGCAAGACATATGTGCTGCTTGCAACCTAGTGAAACACCAGCATTTGCAGGGAGAGAGGGGAGAGATTCGTGGCTAACTGATAGCAAGTGGAGATGCAGAATTGTTATTCTTGGCCTCAGTGGTGAAATGAGTTGGGTTTTGGTAAGCCAAGTGTGCAGAGAAAAAGTTGGAGGCAATCTAAAAAGTTGACTCTTATCAGTTAAGTCATGCATGTCTGAAACAGTCAAACTATTGCATCTTTGGTCTTCTTATTAAAACATTTCTGTGGATGACACTGTGCAGAAAATTTGCCAACTAGGTCCTTCACATTTGGTTACTTTCCATTTTAGCTGATAATTATCAAGAGAACCAAGAAAAGAAGCAAGTGATGCATTGAACAATCCAGTGGTGCCTTTGAAAACAAGCTCCATGAATTTAGTATATAAATGTCAAGTTGATCTTCAGGAATTTGGACAGTATTAAGAATGAGATGATCATTGGTATCACTTGCCACTACAGTGATGAGGTGTGCTTGGAGCTGAGAGTTGACCAGTCTGTTTAAAATGCAACATCACAGACAAGGATCTTTGGCACCAGAGCCAACAAATTATGCTGATTGTTCCTAATTTGAGCATTTTCCATTTGAAGGAATAGGTATGCCTTGTAAGTGGGTGTCCACTGTGTAGAATGATTTGTCTTCTGCAGAAAGAGATGGTTCTTGGCGGTGACATCTGAGTTGCCAGTTGCAGTGGCTGTGGACACAGACCTGGTATCTGACATGTCCTGTGAGGTCATTTCCAGGCAAGTTGGAAAATGGTTGGAACAGACATCTGCAAATGATCTGTCAAGCTGACTGTGCTAGTAGAAAAGTATTAGAAACAACCTTACTCGCTCTCTGTCTTCATTGGCAATCAGTGGAAAAAGGGGAAAAAAATACCAGTAGCTCGCAGGTTATCGCCGTATGAAATTATTTCATAAAGAGCTTGAGTTCTTTCTTCCCATAGTGCTGAGAGAGTGAAGACGAGAGTCTCCCTGCAGGAAAACATGGTCTTTCCGTAGCCTTTTGCAGAAATCCCCTGTGGCTGCTGCCTGCCTGCCTGCCTGCAAGAAGGGTGCCGGGCAGTGGTGCAGCTGTGATGCAGAGCAAGAGGGGTGACCTCCAGCAATATCCTCGGGTTTATCGTCAGCAGAGAGGGAATGCCTGTGCTCTCCTTGCTTTTCAATATACTCTTCACTGGGGGGATTTGGCCTGTTGGGATTTGTGCTTCAAAATATTCAGAAAGATGAAGAGCCTTGGCAGTTTCAGGTGAGTGAATGCTAAGTTTAAGCTTTCAATACAGGTAATTTTATAAGTTTCAGTGCAGTTTGCTACTTTCTTGGGAAAGAAGGAGACTATTAGTTTTAAATTATTGGGGTTGTATTTAGTTCAATGGATAGTGGCAGGCAAGGCTTTGCACAATTGAATGCATGTAATTATTCTGCTGTTACCAGAAGAAAGTTGAAATAAGTTATATGACAGACAGTTTCAGGAATATGGAAATGCAATAAAACCCTAAACTTCTAAAGGAAATAACTTCTCCAGGCATGGTGATATATATTCAGTAAAACTGCATCAAACTGGATTACAGTAATTTGGATTCAGGAAATACAGTGGAAATCAGCGTTCATTACTCTTTCTTTTCTGAGTTAAATCATGTAACATTTTTAGACATTGAAAAGCTGATAACAGAATAGATAAAATATTTCAACTTATAAACAAAATATTGATGAAAAGGAAGCATAGATAAACTATATTAGCATTAGTTATATAACAAATATAGCCACGTAATAAGTTCAACTAACTACCATTTTATTAATTGACATGCAGTTAATTAGTATCTTAGTTAAGGAAATCTCAAATATTTATTCATTCGGTATTTTTTACTTACCTGATTGCTCTGATGACAGTTTTAAGAGCAGGGGTGAGATCTTCTACTGACACATCACACTGGCACCCTTTATCATCATAAACATCATCTGTTCCAAGACTGGTGTCAGCTGCAAAGTACAAGAGCAGATTAAACAAGTAGCATTTAAAAATCTCTTCCTTAGGGTCTTCTAACCTCCTGCACAGTGGTTCTGGAACAAGACTACAAATCAAACAAGACAGAGCTTCATCAGTTTGCAAACTATATGATGCACTTGTCTGTGTCTGCACCTGTGTCATAAAGGCCTGGGTAGTCCCCAGTGTAAACAGTAGAAGTTATAAAGGAAGAAAGCCCTGTTATTTTTCAAACAAATTAATAGTTTAGTACCAGTATGCTTATTACTGATATCTCACTGGTTTTCATCACATTCTCTGTCCTAAGGGAAAGTGGTGAGCTAACAGTTGTAATGGCAGAATCAAAAGATGCTGGAGTTATATTAAATTGTTATTTTTTTACCACTATGGATCAACCTGACATTGAAGACAACGGAGAAGATCCGTTTCATTTACTAAGGTGGCTGTGGAATGATCCAATGCTTTATTACAGGTAAAAATAAATGAAGTACCTTTTCAGCAGAAATGAATAGAGAATGACATCTACCAAGGATCAATTGCCACCTTAAACCTCAGAATCATATAGATATTGCAGCCTTCCTTTGCAATAGGATGTTACGCCAAATTGCTGTATTTATTTGCCTGAAAATAATGGATCCTCTACCCTCTCCTGCCACCACCTCTGCAGTTACCATTGGAGAACTAACTAGAAATCTCAGAAGTGCTCAGTGTCCCTCAATACACAAGAAAATAGGGACTGATGCATGACCTGATGCATGACCAAGAAGTTTTACAAGTTTAAACTGTGCTGGAGTGGGAACAGAGCAAGGAGGGCAGGGTCAGTGAATGTCCCTGTCATATGTGTCTCAAAGGCACATGAAGGAGAGTAATTTTTTCCTCCCAAACCATCTCTCTTCACCTGCATAAAGTCCAAGTGCCCAGGTAAAGAATTTCCCTCAAAGTCAGTGCATTTCAACATGTAAGTGTCTCTGCTTCATAAAGAAGAGAGTGTAAAACAAAATAGTGACATATGACAGAGAAAAAAGGATGGGATTCAGTAGCCCTCAGTAACAGAGATTTCTTCCCAGTCCTGTGTCCTGCCTACGCTCATGCTGTTATTTAAAACATAGGATTAGTCATCTAGAAACACTGCAAGTAAACCATTTCAGGGGAGTTATACCATAAGCAAATTTGAAGCACAATCAGATACAAATGATCACAGGACATTTTTTGCAAATTCCTTTTTCACAAGGACTGTAAATTAAAGACGAACTATATTCTTTGCCAGTCAGAAGTGTCTGGAAATTTCATGGTGCCTTTTAAATCTAATAGGAATGCTGTCTTAGAATAACCAGCATTATACTAGGCTACATCTTCAGAAACTGATATTGCTGCATTGCTGTCTTCATAGATTAAATATTTGGCCATAATAATTTATTCTGATGACTCAAGAGTATCTTTTCTTTTTTGACTATTGCTGAGCTGGTACATCCACGAAGAACATCTACTGTAGCTTCGAAGAGCAGGAGGTTTTATCTTTGACAGATCAACTTAATATAGAAAGAAAGATGGTTTATAGCCAAGTTAATAATGTGTAAAAGTACACATGAAACGATTAAATGCAACCTTAAGAAATTTTCAGTTTAACACTGTAAAAGTGAAATTTTCATACAAAACTTTGCAATCTGCCCTTCCATGCTATTACTGTAAGTTGTGCAATGATGATGAGCGCTTTTTTCTCGCGCTCTTTCACAAGCTTTGCTACTGATTCAACTTATCTTACAGATAAAATATATATGTCTCTCCACCTTTGCTGCCTACCTAACATTTGGATCCCTGCCTAAAAATGTAATTAGCTAAAATAAATTGTGTAATTAGTTTGATAGGTTTATAAACTACCTAAAACTTTATCTCCAAAGGTGCTATCTCCAAGGGTGCTAAGTGTTCCACGTCACTAACTTTCCAGGTGTCATATCTAATCAGCCTCTCCAGTTACTCCTCCCAGTGCTGAAATCTCCCAGCTCATTTCTAAGTGCCGTACTAAAACCAGAGCTTTTTGTCCTACTGGTATTTCTAGTGGCTCGCTAAAGTTGAATCTACTCAGTTATGCCAGTATAAATTAGGAATAATTCTGCTAAGGTCACAAGAGCTACAACCATGTAAATCCAGAGAAACCAGAGACTCCAACTTGAAAGTTTAAAATAAACATGTTTCTGAAGGGTTCTCTCACTGATATGGTTCCTGGGTTGTTTGCCAAGTGCAGTGTCATTAATAACAAGTCTTCCTTAACAAACTATATCTTTGCAGAACCCTTTTGAGAACTGTGTGGTGCAATTAGAATTCCATCTTGCTCACATGTGGATACAAAAATCAGCAAAAACTTTAGACAGATGATGGAAAATTCTTATATATTTAAGCAGCTTTAAGAAAAGATTCTGCTCCTAATAAATCACCTTCTTTTTCTCTTTCTAATATTCCCACTGATGTGAATTTCCTTCATTACGGCAGGCGCTTGGTATCACATGTCAATAAAACTTGTGAAAAGCTATAAACCTTGTTTGATTCATATGGGAAACATTCATGTTTCTTTAAAATACTGAGCAGACTTGGGAAAAAGTTTGGGAAATGCATAGTAACAATTTGGGAAAAAAAAAATCCAGCTTAAAATCCCTCTGAAATCAAAGTTCACATTCTGATGAATTTTTCCAGTGGAAGCTCATGTTGTGTACAACATAGTTACGAGGTGAGATGTACTTGCATTGCTTCTGTCCCTCTCAAGTTCATCCTCGAGGTCGGGGCCGTGTTGGGGCCAGTTTGGCTGCTTCAGCAGCTCCAGCTGTTAAAATCTTTGCCAGTTCCCAGACGGGAACTGCTCTGACGAGCCCTGCTCCATGCTGTTGCCTGTTCCCAGAGAGAGCCTTCCCCATCATTAACCGGGGCAGGTAGATCCCCCGGTGCCAGCTCATGCCGAGCCCTGCACACATCTGCTTCTTCATCCTTCCCCGTACCCTTTGGCCATATCTCCTGCTCTCCATCGGGGTGGCTGTGCATGGTCCAAGTGGGTTCCTCAGGCAACCTTAGGCAGCCACTGCTCTACATGAATCCAATTGCTTTGCCAGGCCTTCCTAGGGTTAGCGCAGGTCCTTCTTTCTTTCTAGGAGCCTCTACCACCAGCCAAACAGGCCTTCAAGTCTGTGGCTTTGGTACCAGCCTTGACAATGGCCAAAATGTCTCTTAATACGGATTTAGACATAACCCTTCAAGTCTCCCTATGAAGGGCTGTCAGTCAATCTGAAAATCCAGAAACAATTCCTCTTTTCTAATACCAGCATCTTTACAATTCAGGATGAGTTTTGATCCTAAATGTCAATCTGGAAAGTGTTTATTTCGCAACTGATGAGGCATCTGCCCTTATCTTATGATCTTTGACATTATTTACTTTGGGCTACAGTCTTGTCTTTGCCACTTTTTAATTTTTCCTTTTTCTTAAGAGCAGTCTTTGATTATATTACACAGCAAATCAGCCATTACCAAGGAATAGAAGATAGGCATGCACAAGTCATTAAAATTGTCTTGATATTTCCCTCTTTGTCACAGTATTTATGCATTCTTCATGAAAACACCAGTCATTTATGATCACCCCAAATGAACGGGCTAAAAATGACACTGTTCTGAAACATTATATGCCACTAACAAAAAATTTATGAGTTTGTAGCTGCATTTCATATGGCACTGTGCAAAAGTTATGCACAAGGCTTGATTTATTATTTCTGTAAATATCACATGTCCTTTCTCAGAAGTGTTTTCTGTTGTTTAATAACATGCTTTGACATTGGGAAAACTGTGACAATACTCTGATCACCCTCATAGCTCCATGCTTTCAATGTCAATAACATTCAAGTAATTATGTGCCTGTTGAACAGATTCAAAAAGATTTTGTACTCTTCATTTTCTGGGAACTGCCACATGCAGGCAACAACAACCCAGCATTAATAAGTGCATGTGCTGACACCGTACTGATTGGTATGGTGATCCCAACATAGACCCTATGACTTATGTTTTGGAAGCCTTCAGAAGCACTGAGATCTGACTGCATAGGAGGTAGGTAGGGCTCCTCGTGTGGGTGATCTAAATAATTCTGCTGAGGCTGAGTACCCACCTTTCAGACATGGCAAAACTTAAATAGGTGCCTGAAGTTGATAGTCTGCATATGACTCTTGATTATTCATGTTACAGCACAGTGTTGTGTCCACTTGTTAAAAAAGACACTGATTTGGAAAAAAAGTCTGATTGATTTTCATTGTAGTGCATGACTCAAGGTGAAAAATGGATGGTGGCCTAATTTTCACAGGTGCTGAGTTACATCAAGCCATAGTTTATAACTATCATTCAAAATCCAGAGTTCAGCTTGGGAACTGAAGTCTGAGCAAGCCACAATGCAGCTCCACAGCCCACTCTCCATCCCGCTCAGCAGCGTCATCAAAGCGCAGAGCTGCCCCGGCTGCCCAGGGCAGCAGTGCGGGGCATCCCAACGTGGCTTGCTCATCTCTGGACTCATTTTCTGCGTAAACAGTCAGAAAGAAAATGAGTGGAGAATTCAATCCATCTAATTTCTGGGCAACCAAAGTTAGACATAAATTCAAAGCTTTTGGAGGACAGATTGTCCCGTCGCACCATGCGCAGGTGCGGATGCGTAGGTCTGCTGCAGCAGGGTGTCCAGGCAGCTGCTTTGGCCTTAGACTCCTAACTGTCTTGCTGTTAAATGGCTGCGGAGTTCAGATGGCCCCACGTGTTCAAGAAGCAATGCTAGCAGCTTGATATTCTCATGATTCTGTTCTTTCAGCCTCTTTTCAAAGCAATTGAAGAAGGACATGGAGCTGTTGGAGTGAGTCCAGAGAAGGGCCACGAAGATGATCCGAGGGCTGGAGCAACCCTCCTATGAAGACACGCTGAGAGAATCGGGGTTGTTCAGGCTGGAGAAGAGAAGGCTCCGGGGGGATCTTTTAGCAGCCTTCCA